GGAAGTGATTTGGAAGAAGCACTGTGATGGAAAGAGATTCTTTACCTGCTAAATCAGAGATTCCATATCTTTGTTTCTGTCTCTGCACTATTCATGTACATGGAATACTTCCATCATCCGTCCATCTATTCAGTCATCCATGAACAGTTGTTATCTGCATGCCAGGCACTGGAGATACAGCACAGAACAAGACAATCATGGTCTTTGTTCTCGTGGAGCTTAGAGTCTACTGGGGGACATTAAGGAACAAATAAATTAGTGAGATAATTACACATTGAGATCTGTTCAGTATGCAGATCTGCCTTTGTCCCTCCCTATGTAAAAAGTTTCAGTGACTTTATATCACTTCAGAATGAAGTCTGAGACCCTTTTACATGACACATGAGACTCTGGGGTCTGACCTTTGCCTGCCTCTCTCAGCTCATCTCTCTTCTCTCTCTGCTTCCATTTTATTGTCAGTAACACTGAACTGCTTGTGGTTCCCTCCCTGTACTTCTCTTACTTGCCTCTGTACCCCTGCAGATGCTGCCCTTCTACTGAAATGTTGTTCTTATTTGCTTGTTTTAACTGGTTTTAACTGCTTCAAAAGCAGCTAATATATCACTTCCTCCAAAGAGCATTCCCTGATACTCTGCCCCTCCCCCCCAAGCTTTCACCTCTTAGAACAGTGCTTGGCACATGGTTGTTATGCCACACACTATGTCAAACAAATAAGCTACCAATGTGTTAGCAGTCCAATGTCTTATTAGACTTAACAAAAATCTAGGGCAGTGTCAGTGGAGATGGAGAAAAGGGGCTAGTTTTGAGTAGCAGATTAGATGTGGGAAGAGAGATTTTGAGCTAGGGAAACTCTATAACTGCTGGTCATGCCATTAACTGAGACTGGGATTCCAAGTGGGGGAGCAGGTGAGGAGCCATGATTTAACTGTCTATTACCTATCCAGAAAAAATAGGTAATAGACAGTTAAAAATATGGATACAGAGCTTGGGATTGATTACAACAGAGAACCATAGGTTTGGAATTATAATCATGTTTGAGACTATTGGAGTAGATTTTTACCCAAGAAAAATGAGTAATAGGCATTTTGGAATGGTTTCATCGAAGAGGTGGCATTTGAACTAAAGTGTTTGAGAAAGTATGGAAGGGCATAGAGAGTAGGGGGAATTATCTTGTTTCCTTCAATTACTGGGAATCTTCTAATTTCCTTAATTAATATATTTTCCTTTTTATGATTTCATATGTGATTTATGTATTCCTTATCATAAAAACAGTTGGGATATTAATTCTGAAGATTATAGAGAATGGATACCTGTTTTAATGTTATTTTTATCTTCTGGGCCAAATTCCAGATAAAGAGTTTTCATCTTGCTGATTGTTTTCTTCCTTATCATCATTTTGCTCTTTATGTCCTCATGTCATTGAACCAAGAACTGAATAACCGTTGTGATTTGTTGATTTAGAAAGCTCAGCTCTAGAAATGTTCTGTCTGGCTTCAGTGATTCTTATGATCAGCTTGGTCATTGTGTCCGTGTAACTGGAAATTCCTATCATGTTCCTCCTCAATTTACTATTTATGAGGCTCAGCAAGGCCCTGAACTAAATCCAGAATGTTGTTAATCTTTAATGGCTTCCTCGGGTTCATGTGGGAGGGGTGGACAAGGGGGTATTTTAATGTCTCTGGCAGCACTGTTTCATTTTGTTGTTTTTCATTACTTGAATGTCATAATTTTTTATATTAATCTTTGTAATACAAAGTCTGAGTCTAGGTACCAAATCAATATTCCTTTACTCGTTGTTCTCCCAATTAGGCCTAATATATGACAGTAAGTAAGTATCTGAGGGGAAAACAAATCTTATCACTTACTTAAATGTATTTTGGTTTGAACAGCTTTGCTCAGGCCTAGAGCCTTAGTACTTTAGCGTGAGACTGTCAGGTAAGTTGTATTATCATCTACCAGACTGACTAGGCATATGTGACCATCACCTCAATTTCTGCAGAAATCAATATTTTTTTCTGTAGCAATAGCTCTTGACTTTTCTCCACCTAGCACAGCGTAAAGATACAACAGTACTGTGGCACACTACATGGTGATTCCTCCTTGGGATTTGGGAGCTTATCAGAATCTCCAGGGGTACTTATAATTTGAAAAAGTCCCCCAGGTGTGATTCTGATTTGCTTCCTTCTCCTCCTTCTACTCTAAGAATCACTGTTTCATCCAGAAGCTTCAGCATAAAGAGGCACATTTATTGCATATTGTGCTTGCATAGTTGAGCTCCCCAATCTCCATGCACCCATCCTTCCCTCTTGAGTGGTCCTCAGTAGTTCTAATACCGTAATTTCTGAAACCAATGTCTGCCTGTCACCAAAGGTGTAACTACCACCAAAGCAGCCCCATTAGTGTTTGGAAGCCTACAAGCAAGGAGCTCTCCACAAGCTTGAGGGCAAGGTTTAGTTGTGTGGTTTATTTAAATGGGAGCCCTTTGCAAAGACTTAGACTGGAGTCCAAGATTTGTACTAACATCACTCCCTTTCTCAATTTGATTGCAACATTTTATGGTGAAAATTTTCAACTCTGCGCCAATGTTGAAAGAATTTCAAGATGATCACCTATATATCCACCACCTAGATTCTGCAGTTATCATTTTAATATGCTTGCTTAATCATATGTCTACACAAATATTCACCCTCTGTTCATCTATTCACCGTTTTTAAGCATTTCACAGTAAATTCCGGATATCAGTACAATTCACCCTAAACACTTCAGTACACATATCATTAACTAGAGTTTAATATTTGTTTACAGCTTTTTCTTTTGATATAATATTTACATATGATAAAATGCAAAAATCTTTTTTTATTATTATTTATTTAGGCTGTGCTGGGTCTTGGTTGTGGCACGCAGGATCTTCACTGCTGCATGTGGGCTCTTTAGTTGCAGCATGCAGGTAGCGTCTAGTTCTCTGACCAGAGATTGAACCTGGGCCCCCTGCATTGGGAGTGTCTTAGCCACTGGATCACCAAGAAAGTCCCTAAAGTGCCGAAATCTTAAGTGTTCATTACCTGAGTGCTGACAGATGATAAATCTGTATAACCCAAATCCCTATCAAGATATAGAAGATTTTTACACTCTCTTTTTTCTGCCCAGATTATTCCCTCTTGACTTTGTATAGTCTCTGAGTTAAAGGTAAGAAAAAGGCTTGTCAGTGTTTCCAGGACAAATAAGGATCAATGCTTCATCATGGATCAGCAGATTTCTCTTTTCCCTCGCCAAAGTACCTTGTGTTTTAAATTATATATGAATGTCTTAAACAAGAGACTGAGAGGATTCCCTGGTGGTCCAGTGGTTAGGGCTCGGTACTTTCACTGCCAGGGCCCAGGTTCGATCCCTGGTCAGGAAACTAAGATCCCACAAGCCTCGCGGCACAGCCCCCCAAATTTTTTTTTTAATTTAAAAAAATAAGTAAATAAATAAAACAGGAGACTGAATGAGTAACTTGCCTTTCAGTTTTTAAATACTTATTTTGGAAAATAGGCATAAATACCTTATATCTATGTAGTTAAGTATTATAAAGTGAGAGCTCTAGTTTAATGAAATGTGAAGAGATATGCATAGAAACATAAGTGGGGAAGAGAAAGGAAGTGGGATGAAGGTGAGATGGGGAAAAAAATCACCTAAATATTAATGTAATATAACATGCATTAATATGTAGTTAATTGATTAAAAATATGTATATCTAACATCACGAGATATCATAGTCTATCCTGATGACAGTGGCATGCCATTTATTCAAGAATATCAGCATATCATAATCTGCCTTTAGGAAATACACATTAAATTCCTCTCACAATTGGCCTTGGGTATTTGTCATTTTACTGTTAATGCCTTTATGCCTGGTAAATAGCTCTTACTTGGCTTATTTTTAGAGTGATGTAACATATTTTAATTTATACCAGTATATTTAAAATATGACATAAGTTTGAAATTATTTGCTTGCGTTTTATGAGGAGCAACACATAAGTGTATTTCTAATAAAATAATTCTAGTCCCGAAAGGAAAGCTGCGACAAAAGTAAATTGTGCTATTTCCATAATAAAAAGATATAGAAAACATGCAGGCATTTGCATATAGTTCCTGAAATATTGCATACCGGCTTGGTCAGTGCTGGTAAGTCCATTTCAAGGATGTTTCCCTTAGTCCATTAGTTTGGATAATGAGCCCTATAAAGTACATTTATAACTTGTGGCACTGTAAGGAGATGGATTCTAATTTTCATCCTTTTATCTAGACACACTGAAAGAAGGTCAGTGGAGGGTTCTATATGATTCATTTTCCCAACACACATCAGATGACAGAGACCTGATAATGTCCATGCATAAGTGTTTTCCTTATTTGGAAACAGCACTTGAAAGAAATCTTTATATGATCATCCTTTGGAGTAAAGTGGAAACAGATATTAAAAGAAGCTCCATCCGATTTTTTTGGTTTAAAACATTATCACACGTGGGACAAGATAGCTATTCTTGAACAAAAGAGAAAGTGACACTTAACAGAAAAATAAAAAGCCTTTAGTGACTTTTATAGGCTGTGAATGATATAACAAGATATTTAATCAACTTTTCCTCCCCCTCTTCTTAGATCTGTTAAGGAAAAAAAAAGCCTGTTTCCTAAACAAAGAAAAAGCTTCTATGTTCCTAAACATTAGGAAAGCTTATAGAATAATACTTGTCCTAGCTTTATTCTTATTATTAAGCATTCAAAATAAATAAGTTCTAGTCTATACTTATTTTACAGTTTAAAAGACTTCAAAATAGCAACAAGAATGTATATTCTGCAGTTTAGTGAAGTTTTGTGTCAAAAATGTGAAATTGTAGGCAATTTTAAAATCTTGTCTTTTAAGACATTAGTTTTAGATTCAAGATTGGTAGCTGATTATGTTCATTTTCTCAATTATGTAATCATTAATGAGAACTATTTTTCTGTGCTTATCTTCTTCGTAGATGTAAAGCAATCATAGATCAGTTTGGTCAGAGAATAATCTCTAAGCATTTCCTTGTGGAAGACAGTTACTTTTCTGAGAACACATGCTCGCATGTGCAATACAGGTAAGGCACCCCTCCAGCCACTCTGCAAGGGAAGGTGAAACGGGGAAATTCATCTGTGTGATTACATTGACACTTCTGTATGACTCTGTTCTTCAAGTAAGATGCAAATGTATACCAAACCAAAGATATATTCAGCGTGTTACCACTGTTCTCTTATAAGGTCTGGTTTTGTGGAGGAGCCTAGCCTAATGTTGACTCCTTTGCATCAGCTGGGGTCTGTCTCCAGGTCACACATCCTCCTTTCATGAGCCAAGAAAAGATTAAAGCAGAACTTGACTTGGTTTGGAGAGGTGACACTTTTATCATAACAGTTCTTTGAAACATGCCTTCTGGTGGTTGTATAGCTATATAAATGAAATTTATCCATGGAATCTGAGTCACTTATTAACTGTTTTCTGCATTACAGGCAGATCTCCAGGGCAGTCTTGATTACGGATAGGTCTGTACTAAAAACAGATTCAGATCAACAGGTAATTCCAGTTCTGTACTTTTTAATAGCATGTTACTAACTTAATCTACATGGTAATATGTGTAAATTAACATCGGTGAAATAAAATATATTAACCAATATGTACTAATACATTTAATGCATTTTAAAAACACATAATGGCAATTATGTAATAATCTTGGTTTCTTAAAGATTTCCTTTCAGTGGAACAAATAATTGCATCTTATGTAACAGATTTATTCTAGGAATATTGAAATCATCGTAGTTTTTTTTACAGCTATTTCTATGAAATTGAAAGTATATTACTATGAGAAGAAAAGCGTTTAGAAGCATTTAAAAATCTTGGAGGAAAAGGCTTTATGGTAACCAGTCCTACAGCAGTGGTGGTAAGCTCACCATTAGGGGCCCGGTGTGAATGAATATCAGCACACGTTTTCAGTTCTGACATTTCCTCATCACCATGGTTCATTTCGGTACCCCATTCCTCCTCATAACCCCTGATTCGATAGAAGTGTCTTTATACCTGTGGTTTTTCCTCAGTTTGAACACTTAAATTCCAGAAGTATGCCCCCTTCTCCTTCTGACCATAATTTACAGGACTGATAAAATCAGCTTACTTAGTAAGTGTGACTGTCAGACCTATCCTATATGCTACTGCTAAAAATAGGTTCCGAAATTTCCTTAAGTTGGAAGCTTTGTATTATATAAAGCAAATATGTTAATTTTACGAGTGAGCGCAAATACTTTCATTTAATCATTCAGCAGACAATGAGTGCCTTCGACATGCCAGCCAGTGTGCTGGGTTCTGAGGAGATAGTGCTGACCATGATAGCATCTGTGCCCTCATAGCTTGCAGTCTAGAGGATACAGATACAGACAGATAAATAGCAACAACAGTACAGTGTGACAGGTGTGAGCGAGAAGTGGTAAAATCATAGCACTCATCACACTGTCCTGTAGTTGCTAGTTTACTTGTCTGTAGCTCCCAGTAAACCATAAGCTTTGTGAATGGGTCGAAGAATGACAAAGGCAGAAAAGTGAAGAGAGCAAACAGATGCTTCTGAAGAAGCTAAGCTGGGAAGAGTAAGAGGGAAGAAGTGATTCCTGCAGCGGGATGTGGAAGCGAAGAGGGCATTTCTTTAAAGTATTAGAGCAGCAGTCCCCAACACTTTTGGCACCAGGGACCAGTTTCGTGGAAGACAGTTTTTCCATGGACCAGGGTGGGAGGGATGGTTTTGGGATGATTCAATCGCATTACATTTATTGTGCGCTTTATTTCTATTATTATTACATTGTAATATATAATGAAATAATTACACAACTCACCATATGGCAGAATCAGTGGGGGCCCTGAACTTGTTTTCACTTGCGACTCACTGATAGGGTTTTGATATGAGTTTGCAAGCAATTGATTTATTATGGTCTCTGTGCAGTCAATCCTCTCTGCTAATGATAATCTGTATTTGCAGCCGTTCACCAGTGCTAGCATCACCGCTTCAGCTCTACCTCAGATCATCAGGCATTAGATTCTCATAAGGAGTGTGCAACCTAGATCCCTCGCATGCGCAGTTCACAATAGGGTTCGCACTCCTATGAGAATCTATTGCCACCACTGATTTGATAGGAGGCGGAGCTCAGGCGGTAACGTGAGCAATGGGGAACGGCTGTAAATACAGATGAAGCTTCACTCGCTTGCCTGCCACTCACCTCCAGCTGTGCGGCCCAGTTCCTAACAGGCCACAGACACCGGTACCCATCCGTGGCCCGGGGGTTGGGGCCCCCTGTATTAGAGTATATTTCAACTGATGGGGATGGGGCCAGTAGAGAGGGAGAGGTTGAAGATTCCCAGGAGAAAAGGAGGATAATTGATGCAGCAAGGTCCAGATAAAGGCTGGGGAGGATGGGATTCAGAGAACAGGTAAAAAACATTGCCCTTAGATGGGATGTGAGACACTGAAATAAGAGGGTGAATGCAGGAGAATCTGTAGGTTTGGGAGTTCCCATCTGATGGGTTCTATTTACTTTTTAAATTACAAGGTGAGGTTATCTCCTGAGAATGGAGGTATGAGTGTGGGGATGGGTCAAAGCTCATGGAAGGGTGTAAAATAATCACCGTGGAGAGTGACCTGTCTCATGGTCAGATGGCTGGGCAGTGTTGAGGGGTCCAATTAAATCTGGAGGTCATGGGTTTACAGTGGCATTAATCTGCTCTGATCCTTCCAGCTTTTTCATTCTCTTACCCCCACCCAGCCTACTCATTGACCTATTAAAAGAGACCTACAATTCCTTGCTCCCTCTGTTTCCTCCGGGATTACTAGCTCCCTTCTGCCCTCTTCCTTTTCCGTGTCCTAGACCACACGGTGGATCTTCTGAACTGCTCTTTCTCCAAAACCTTCAATTCCTGTGTAGCCATGTTCTTCCTCTGCACCCACAGAGGAAAGTCCCATACCTGGATGAAGCTGGGATCTACACCTGGATCACTAAGGCTGATTGGGAAAACAGTACAGCCAGACAGACTGGCGCCACCACAGTGTTGGGGGCACCAACCTCATCCAGCAGGACCCTCAGTAACCACCACCAGTTAGCTCCTCACTGGCTCAGACAGTGCCCTCTCCCCTCAGAGCCTAGTCCAACTTTTCACTATTTTACCCACCTTTAGCCCTCTCACTCTCCCCCATCACTTTGCTGAGAAAAGTAAGGACACCTACTAAGCACAGTGCCCTTTGACCTCCTGCCCGACCACCCACAACTTATGTACACCAGCACAGAGACTAATGAGGGGTCTCCCCTCCTTGTCCAAGGCCAAGCCCTTTCACCAGCACGCTTGACACACACATGCACCCACACCACCCTGTATGCCTGCTCTCTCTCCTACATTTTTAGCCTCTCCCCACTATTGGCACCTTCCCCTCAACCTATACACATGTATTAGCATTTTCTGTTCCAAAAATTAAAATAATAAGGCAAACAGAAAAATGCTCCCTTGAGTCTGCCCCCATCTGTAGCTAGTATCCAATCTCTCCCCTGCTCCTGTCAATATTTTTGAGATGGTATCTCTACTTGCTGCCTCCAGCTCCTTACGTCTCATTCATTTCTAGACCAACCTGGCTTCTACCCTCACATTCCTACCATAGTTTCTCTTGGTAAGTTTATTAATAACTTTGTACTAGTCAAGACCACAGGGCGTTTTTGGGGTTTTGTTTACTAGGTCTTTTCTGGTATATTTGACAGTGTTGATTATTCCCTTTCTCTTGAAACTCTCTACTCCTTTGGCTTCCATGACACTGTGTTCTCCTGGTTTTCCTCATAACTCTCTGGCTATTCCCTCTCTGCCTCCTCTGTGGGCTCTATCCTCCTCTTAAATATTGGGCTTCCTCGGGGTTCTCAGCTCAGCCCACCATATCTGTTACTCTTTGCACACTTGCTGCTTGACTCCATGTACTCTCATGGTTCCAACTCTGCATAAAAGTTGGTGACAGCCTTCCACTTGTATATCTCCCAGGACTTTTGGCCCACAGGCCAAATTTCCTACTGGACATCTGTCCCAAGGACTCCTCAAACTGAACATACTCAGAGCTGAACTCACCGTCTTCCCTCTCCAAACTACTCATCCATCGCTTCCTACTTCCATGAAAGCACTTACATCCTTCCAACAACGATTTCTTCCTCCTATCTCTGAAATCTCATGAGCCTCCAGGTCCTTGTCACTGTACATCCTAGAAGTTGCTCCAGTCTGCTTTTCCTCTTGATCCTTATTCTCACTGCTCCAGTTTTGGAACTCATCACCTCTTCCTTCTAACTGGTCACCCTGCTTCTCATCTTGTCTCCTATAAATCTATCCTCCATATAGCCATCAGAGAGATCAATCTAAAATGTACACCTGGCCTGCCTTTTTTTGTTTCCTATATGAGTTTTTTTCCCCTTTTTAAATTTTTGAAGCACAAATAAAATGATGAGACTTAGAGGAAAGAGTAGGTGTCAGTCTAGATAAATTTTATGGAAGTGGTATTAAAGTGTTGAAGGAATTATCTTTTGATGGCTGTTATAATCTCTCTGAGATTTAAGACAGTTACATTCTCAGGGTTCAGACAGAAGGCACTGTGGTAGGGGGTCACTGATTATATCTCAGTTTTTTAAAAAAAATATAGATGATAGTTGTAGGAAACAAAAGAAGTACTTACATGTTGATACAGTCCTTAAGATACCTTTCCAGTTATACACATGTTTTTAGTCATAGTCATTTGATAATTATCATATGACATTAAATCCATGTTTTAGTGGTTCCTCTCTCTTTAATGCTAAAGTACAACACTTTTTATCATAGACAGCAGCAAAAGGAGTTAAGAGGAATATGGAGAACACAATTTTAGACATTGTAAAACCCAAAATGTATATACAGGTAATGACAGTAAGATAGTCATGATTATCAAAATAATTTCTATTTTCAGAACTTGTAGGCATTTCCTTGGTAGGCTATCAATGTGACATTGCCAGTCAAAAATATAAGCATAATGCTCACAGGTAAAAGTACAAATGGGGCTTTACTTTTTGGCAGTGTTTCCTGTATAAAATGATATCGTTTCCTCAGATTGAAGATTAAATTGAGAATTAATATTGAAGCTTTTGGTTCTGTAGAGAAACACTGACCTGATGGGTATTTAAAGTCTTTTAAATATAAAGCCATATAGCATATGAGTGCTGCCTAGGGCAGCATACTACATATTAATGGAGTCCTTAAATTACTTTGAACCCATTCATTTTGAAACATTTTGGTATATGTTTAGCTGTACTTTGGTACATTTTGACATATACTTTGCTTATTTCAATTTCTTTGCAATTTGTAACATTTTAAATTTTTAGTGCTCTATAACTGCTATTTTTAGCCAATATGAATAATCAAAACTAATTTAATGTGCTCTGATTTCAAACAGTGAAGTACATACAACTCAGAGGTAATTAATCATATCCTTTGAAAATATGTAGTAAGTGAAGGATTTAATAAATATTAAAGATATTTGAAATATTTATCGTCTACAAATTAAAGGACTGCAATATATATATCATATGTAAATATATCAATAATGCAGAAACTGGACATTAGGACACATGTGCATGCTTTATGTTTCAAACTGTGTTCTAAAATTCAATCCTTCCAGATCAATGTTTTTCAAACATCAATGAGAGTTTGAAAAAAGACACTCAGTTTGGCAGTTAATTACACTCTAATGATAGAAAAATGAAAATGAGATCTAACAGCTATGTCTGATATTTTGTTTCTGCTTTTTAGATTTCCATTTTGACAGTGCCAGCAGAAGAACCAGGAGCTTTTGCTGTTCGGGTCATTGAGTTATGTTCCTCAACAATGACATGCATGAAAGGCACATGTAAGCACAACAGAGTCTGGTATTTTCTTTTGTGTTTGTTTAGGAAGTAAACGGGGACAGCTGTTGTTACCGTTCTCAGGGTTGTGTTAGTAGAGTTTTGCCGTATATATATATATATATTTTTTTTAATTCACAGTATTTGTTCAAACAGTGTATGTTCATACAGTAAGTCATTTCATACCTTCCCCTTGCCTCTAAACATTTCTATGGCTAAATCTTCACAGGCACCATTGTTAATCTCTCCAGTGAAAGGATTTCTGTGACTTTCCAATTCTTTCTTTCTTTTTTTTTTGTAACATCTTTATTGGAGTATAATTGTTTACAATGTTATGTTCGTTTCTGCTGTATATCAAAGTGAATCAGCTATATGTATACATATATCCCCATATCCCCTCCCTCTTGTGTCCCTTCCCACCCTCCCTATCCCACCCCTCTAGGTGGTCACAAAGCACCCAGCTGATCTCCCTGTGCTATGTGGTTGCTTCCCACTAGCTATCTGTTTTACATTTGGTAGTGTATATATGTCAATGCTACTCTCTCACTTTGTCCCAGCTTACCCTTCCCCCTCCCTATGCCCTGAAGTCCATTCTCTGCTTCTGCATCTTTATTCCGATCCTGCCTCTAAGTTCATCAGAACCTTTTTTTTCTTTTTAGATTCCATGTATATGTGTTAGCATATGGTATTTGTTTTTCTCTTTCTGACTTCCTTCACTCTGTATGACAGACTCTAGGTCTATCCACCTCACTACAGAGGACTCAATATCATTTCTTTTTACAGCCAAGTAATATTCCATTGTATATATGTGCCACATCTTCGTTATCCATTCATCTGTCGATGGACACTTAGGTTGCTTCCATGTCCTGGCTATTGTAAATAGTACTGCAATGAACATTGTGATACGTGACTCTTTTTTTGAATTATGGTTTTTTCAGGGTATATGCCCAGTAGTGGGATTGCTGGGTCATATGGTAGTTCTATTTGTAGTTTTTTAAGGAACTTCCATACTGTTCTCCATAGTGGCTGTATCAATTTACATTCCCACCAACAGTGCAAGAGTGTTCCTTTTCTCCACACCCTCTCCAGCATTTATTGTTTGTAGGTTTTTTGATGATGACCATTCTGACCAGTGTGAGGTGATACCTCACTATAGTTTTGATTTGCATTTCTCTAATGATTAGTGATGTTGAGCATCCTTTCATGTGTTTTTAGGCAATCCATGTATCTTGTCTGGAGAAATGTTTATTTAGGTCTTCTGCCCATTTTGTGATTCAGTTGTTTGTTTTTTTGATATTAAGCTACATGAGCTGCTTGTAAATTTTGGAAATTAATCCTTTGTCAGTTACTTCATTTGAAAATATTTTCTCCCATTTTGAGGGTTGTCTTTTCATCTTGTTTATGGTTTCCTTTGCTGTGGAAAAGCTTTTAAGTTTCATTAGATCCCATTTGTTTATTTTTGCTTTTATTTCCATTTCTCTAGGAGGTGGGTCAAAAAGGATCTTGGTGTGATTATGTCATAGAGTGTTCTGCCTGTATTTTCCTCTAAGGGTTTTATAGTGTCCATCATGTTTAATGTGTCATTTAAAGCTTGTGTTTCCTTATTTATTTTCATTTGGATGATCTGTCCATTGGTGAAAGTGGGGTGTTAAAGTCCCCTGGTAGTATTGTGTTACTGTTGATTTCCCCTTTTATGCCTGTTAGCATTTGCCTTATATATTGAGGTGCTCCTATGTTGGGTGCAGAAATATTTACAATTGTTATATCTTCTTCTTGGATTGATCCCTTGATCATTATGTAGTGTCCTCTGTGTCTTTTGTAATAGTCTTTATTTTAAAGTCTGTTTTGTCTGATATGAGAATTGCTACTCCAGCTTTCTTTTCATTTCCATTTGCATGGAATATCTTTTCCCATCCCGTCACTTTCAGTCTGTATGTGTCCCTAGGTCTGAAGTGGGTGTCTTGTAGACAGCCTACATACGGGTCTTGTTTGTATCCATTCAGCTAGTCTGTGTCTTTTGGTTGGATCATTTAATCCATTTACATTTAAGGTAATTATCAATATGTATGTTCCTATTACCACTTTCTTAATTATTTTGGGTTTGTTTTTGTAGGTCTTTTCCTTCTCTTGTGTTTCCTGCCTAGAGAAGTTCCTTTAGCATTTGTTGTAGAGCTGGTTTGGTGGTGCTGAATTCTCTTAGCTTTTGCTTGTTTGTAAAGGTTTTGATTTCTCCACTGAATCTGAATGAGATCGTTGCTGGGTAGAGTAATCTTGGTTGTAGGTTTTTCCCTTTCATCACTTTAAATATGTCCTGCCACTCCCTTCTGGCTTGCAAAGTTTCTGATGAAAGATCAGCTGTTAAGCTTATGGGGATTCCCTTGTATGTTATTTGTTGCTTTTCCCTTGCTGCTCTTAATTTTGTTTGTGTATTTAATTTTTGATATTTTGATTATAATGTGTCTTGGCATGTTTCTCCTTGGATTTATCCTGTATGGGACTCTCTGCAATTCCTGGACTTGATTGACTATTTCCTTTCCCATGTTAGGAAAGTTTTCAACTATAATTTCTTCCAGTATTTTCTCAGACACTTTCTTTTTCTCTTCTTCTTTTGGGACCCCTATAATTTGAATGTTGGTGCGTTTAGTGTTGTCCCATAGGTCTCTGAGACTGTCATCAATTCTTTTCATTCTTTTTTCTTTATTCTTCTCTGTGGTAATTTTTTCCACTAGTTTATCTTCCAGTTCACTTATCAGGTCTTCTGCCTCAGTTATTCTGCTATTGATTCCTTCTAGAGAATTTTTAATTTCATTTATGGTGTTGTTCATCCTTGTTTGTTTGCTCTGTAGTTCTTCTAGGTCCTTGTTAAACGTTCCTTGTATTTTCTCCATTCTTTTTCCAAGATTTTGGATCATGTTTATTAACATTACTCTGAATTCTTTTTCAGGTAGACTGTCTTTTTCCTCTACATTTGTTTGGTCTGGTGGGATTTTACGTTTCTCCTTCATCTGCTGTATATTTCTCTGTCTTCTCATTTTGCTTAACTTACTGTGTTTGGGGCCTCTTTCTTGTAGTCTGCAGGTTTGTAGTTCCCGTTGTTTTTGGTGTCTGCCCCCAGTGGGTAAGGTTGGTTCAGTGGGTTGTGTAGGCTTCCTGGTGGAGGGGACAGGTGTCTGTGTTCTGGTGGATGAGGCTGGATCTTGTCTTTTTGGGGGGCAGGACTTCTTCCAGTGGTGTTTTTTGGGGGTATCTGTGAGCTTATTATGCTTTTAGGCAGCCTCTCTGTTCATGGGTGGGGGTGTGTTCCTGTCTTGCCAGTTGTTTGGCATGAGGCTTCCAGCACTGGACCTTGCTGGCTGTTGGGTGGAGCTGGGTCTTAGCTTTTAGGCAGATATCTCTGGGATAGCTCTCACCGATTAATATTACATGGAGTCGGGAGGTCTCTGGTGGTCCAGTGCCGTAAATTCAGCTCTCCCACATCAGAGGCTCAGGCCTGACACCAGGCTGGAGCACCAAGACCCTCTCAGCCACACAGCTCAGAAGAAAAGGGAGAAAAAGAGAAAGAAAAAAAAGTGAAAAAAAATAAAATAAAATAAAAACAAATAATTAAAGTAATAAAAATAAAAGTGTACTTAATAAAAATGAGAGAGCAACAAAACCAATAAACAAATCCACCAATGATAACAAGTGCTAAAAACTATACTAAGATAAACATAAAAATCAGAAACAAGTCAGTCGCAGGCAGCAAACCCCAAGTCTACTGTTGCTCCCAAAGTCCACCACCTCAATTTTGGGTTGATTCCTTGTCTATTCAGGTATTCCACAGATGTAGGTACCTCAAGTTGATTGTGAGGATTTAATCTGCTGCTCCTGAGGCTGCAAGGAGAAATTTCCCTTTCTCTTCTTTGTTTGCACAACTCCTGGAGTTCAGCTTTGGAGTTAGCCCCTTCTCTGCGTGTAGGTTGCCCTCAGGCTTCTGGTTCCCCCCAGACAGGACGGGGTTAAAGCATCGGCTGATTAGGGGCCTCTGGCTCACTCAGGCCAGAAGGAGGGAGGTGTACCGTAGTTATAATTGGAATGCAGAGCGAGCCTGCGGCAGCAGAGGCCAGAGTAACATTGCACCAGCCTGAGTCGTGTGTTCTCCTGGGGAAGTTGTTCCTGGATCACGGGACCCTGGCTGTGGTGGGCTGTACAGGCTCGCAGGGTGGTGCGGCGGTGTGTAGATAGTGATCTGTGCTTGCACACAGGATTCTTGGTGGCTGCAACAGCAGCGTTAGCGTTTCATGCCTGTCTCCGGTGTCTGAGCTGATAGCCGCAGCTCACGCCCGTCTCTGGAGCTCGTTTAAGCCGTACTCTGCCTTCTGTGGACAGACAGGGAAGGAATCCCCTCTCCTTGCGCATCCTGAAACAATGGTCTGTTGCCTCTTAGGTCCAGAGTTTTTCCCGGACTCCCTCCCGACTAGCTGTGGTGCACTAGCCCCCTTCAGGCTGTGTTTACGCCACCAACACCAGTCCTCTCCCTGAGCCCGAGCCTCAGCTCCCAGCCCCCGCCCGCCCCCCGGTGGGTGAGCAGACAAGCCTCTCGGGCTGGTGAGTGCTGGTCGGCACCGATCCTCTGTGCGGGAATCTCTCCGCTTTGCCCTCCGCACCCTTGTTGCTGTGCTCTCCTCCGTGGCTTCGAAGCTTCCCCCCTTCGCCACCCACAGTCTCCGCCTGCGAAGAGGCTTCTAGTGTGTGGAAACCTTTCCTCCTTCACAGCTCCCTCCCAGAGGTACAGGTCACATCCCTATTCTTTTGTGTCTGTTTATTCTTTTTTCTTTTGCCTACCCAGGTACATGTGGAGTTTCTTGCCTTTGGGGAGATCTGAGGTCTTCTGCCAGCGTTCAGTAGGTGTTCCGTATGAGTTGTTCCACATGTAGATATATTTTTGATGTATTTGTGAGGAGGAAGGTGATCTCCGCATCTTACTCCTCCACCATCTTGTAGGTCCTCCTATTATTCCTTTTAA